CCTAACCCTAAACCTAACCCTAACCCTAATCCTAACCCTAACCCTAACCTAACCCTAACCCTCACCCTAACCCTAACACTAACCCTAAACCTAACCCCAACCCTAAACCTAACCCCTAACCCTAACCCTAACCCTCTATATATCATAAAACATAAGTTCATCAAATAATTATTGGTTTATGGTCTTTTGGTCTTAACGTAAACCTTATTCTTTACGAGATTTTTATATATTATTGCACCAGTTATGATGATATGCTTTACCGTCCTTTATTTTCAAGCTTCGCTTGAAAATTCCTAGTCATTTATATAACTCTTGCCTCTTGCTGTGAAGTACAAACTTGCCAAAATTATTCATATTGCATAAAGATCAATGACTTAAATATATTAAGGTCGGCTCAACCTTATAGAAGACCACACCATCTTTGTCGTAATATCTACGATTTAAGCATTTTCACCTCAATTATTGCTTAAATCCTTAAAGATATATATATATATCTTGGTAAAATTAAACACATTCGGAGCAAACGGAACCTAGATTTTCCGTGTATATACTCGAACAGAGTAGAAACAAGTACTTTCAATTAAGCTGATTTTAGGTTTAATCTATGGAAATTAGCAATGACAAAATAAGATTGCTATATTAATCAGAGAGATATAGGCACCATGCTACATTGAGCCAGGATGTCAGAAGTTCTAGCCATTGCTGAACCTTTCGTTGTATATATGTGCCCATTTAGGGAAAATGATGGAAAAAATTAACATAGATTGTTAACTCTGCTACAGTTGCAGATTCCCTGGTGACACAATGAAACATCAACACTTTTTTTATTTACACGAGAAGAAACATGGTATGAAGATGAATTAAAAATATTTAAGGTGCATTCTATTGCTGAGTCTATCATTTGCTCGCAATGAATGTCCGACTACAGCCAGAGACAGACTTAAAAAGTGATCTTTAATGAGTATTAAATTGTTATTCTTTAATTTTTTTTCATTTACAAAAATGAAAAACGTACTTGCATTACAAATATTTTGACTTACTATTCCCCAAAGCTAAGAATTAAAAGAAAAAGCAACAAAGGTAATTAGCTCTAGTTCTACCAAAACGCAAATAATGATGAATCTCAAAGAAAACTCCTGTATAAATTTAGAATCACTAAGAGATAATCATTCAGGGCAGGGATTTCAGCTTCAATAATGAGCTATTTTCAGTTTAATGACTAAATGCTAGATCATTTTGTTAAAGAGTTTGATATAATTCCGTACGTTTTACGCCTATCTGTTATTACAAGTAAACAACTATAGCTCAGAGATCTAAGAGTCATCGTTCTTAAACCTTAGTTGAATTACGTATGTACTAAAAGGGCTGCACAAGTGCAAAAAGAATAAGTATACTAAAAGTCTCTTTTTAAATCCACTTTATTTCTCCAGAGTAAAGTTAAGAATAAGATATGAGAAGAACTTTAAAAAATATAGGGCCAAAATGCATAAAATAAATATTTGCCTATATATTTTAGATGTAATGATAATTAAGAAGTCGAAGTATTGGATTTACCTTAAGTAGGCAGGGCATGATCCCCTTTTGCGATCATAAAATTTATAATAAAATAGCGTGCAAATATTATACTTAATTCTAGATTAGGATTTTAAGGCTTCATGTGCATAAACGTCTTTTATAATGAGCCATAGATGAACTATTTTTCTATTTTTGAGTGTGTTGCAAGCTGGGATTTCTAGAAAGGTCACAGAGTGAAAAATTTATTGACATCTACAATAATTAAATGCTATTTTCCCATAAAGACGATAATTTTACAAAAGTGAATTTCATAAAATGTACAGGATAAGAATCGGCTTTCTTTTTATTTTAGTTTAGATATTAGGTATGAGGTTACCTTCCGTAATAAAATTTCGAAATATTTTCAATTTACCTAGTCTTTTTCTGATATATTTATTAAAATTTATCTAACCCATGCAAAAACGTGTATTAGATCTATCGTTTTATCATCTAAAATTAATTTAAAATACGAATATAGAGAGAATACATGGACTAGAAGGTAAACACAAAAATTCGACGTCAAAGCCGAAGACTAAATGAATCCTTTAATAATATAGTAAATAAGCAAAAATATCTTGATTATGGATAAATAACACCTTCCGTTTTATTTATATTCTATAATTGGCCAGCGGAATTGACTCGGTGACCTATGTAGTGCCCAAGTATTTATTTTTGAGGCCCTCGGTCTCTGCTGGAACGAAAATGGTCACTAGTTGCTACATAGGAGTTAATTGTATGCAGTTCTAATTAGAAGGTTTGGATAAATACTTTTTATAATTATCGACCGAAAAGATACTTCAATTTTTATTTATTGAATTTATCTACAAGTAACCGAAAGACTTAGGGTTTTACGTCAAGCTTTTTAAGCTGGCGTCCAAAATTCAGGATATTATCAGCAAAGGCAAGACATTTGTCTTGCATCGAGATATATTTGGGCATGCATTCATATTTAAAGAATCATAAAAACATCATTTAACCCTTGCTTGGTTTGAATGGCTCAGATATTACAATTTACTAACCGGATTTATTAATGCCTAAACATGGTAAATGAATAGATATAAAGCAAGAGCCCAGCCTCCGAGAACCCCGATATTCAAAATAAACAAAGATTAAAAATTAAAGCTTTTCAGTAAGTATTTTCAAAATAAGGGACCCACTGGAAAGGCATAATTTAATTTTAGCATATTGGGTGGGCTATAAGTGCAAAAACAAATGGTAAAAGTCTGAGGATGTCCTTTCAAAAAATTCACAGAATAAGTGAAAGATATCTTATAGTTGCGACTTGGATTTTGGTATAGCTTTTAATATTCGAGAAAAGATTGTCGTAGTTTCATAATGTTTATCTTAAGTAAACTTAACAATCATAAGAATAATTATTAAGTAAAGTTCCTGCTGGCAATAATAGTAAACAAGTATTTAGTCTCCACCTAGAACTAACTGCATATTTCTTTACTATTTTGCAAATAGCAAAACCCTTTCAAAATTATATGATACACATTTTTCTCGATTTTAATAGTTATTTATTTATTGGATGCTGGTTCATTTATGAATACCCTTACTCGAAAAGTTCTTTTTTATATTGGCTTGTCATAAATTCCGCAAAATATCAAATGCTTTGATAAGAATAGTCAAGATATTTGTCCTATTATTGCAAAAACCGCAAACGGAGGAATTCATCTTTAATATGATATTTCAATAAATTTCTACCAAATATTCCTTCTCTTTCAGGTGCTACATGCTGGGCCAGGCCTGCCCTCACCAGGAATCTCACATCTGGGCATCCGGCCATATAACTGGCGTGCCGAATGTCTGCATGGGATGGGCAGAGGAGAACCTGCCACTGCATTCCCCATGGCGATAAATTTGGCTGCTTCATTCAGCCAGGCTACGATGGAAGCCGTAGCGTTTGCAACAGGGCTTGAGGCAAGGGCTATCCGAAACGCGAATGTTGACCGCGGCAACTACTCGGTGAGGTGTGGCTTCAGTAACAAAGAATGAAAAAGATAATTTTTAATGCTCATTTCTTGAGTTCAGTTTATTTATATAAACATTCAATATTTTTTGTTCCTTGAATAGTATTTACGATAGGTTCTGAACTTAAATGAATTTTGCAAAG